AGCCTTTATAGGCATCCTAGACCCAAGTATGACATATCAGCCTTTATAGGCACTATAGACCAATGTATGACATATCAGCCGTTATAGGCACTATAGACCAATGTATGACATATTAGCCTTTATAGGCACTATAGACCAATGTGTGACATATCAGCCTTTATAGGCACTATAGACCAATGTGTGACATATCAGCCTTTCTAGGCATCATATACCAATGTAAGACATATTAGCCTTTATAGGCACTATAGATCCATGTATGACATATCAGCCTTTATAGGCATCCTAGACCCATGTATGACATATCAGCCTTTATAGGCACTATAGACCCAAGTATGACATATCAGCCTTTATAGGCATTATAGGCCAATGTGTGATATATCAGCCTTTATAGGCACTATAGGCCAATGTGTGACATATCAGCCTTTATAGGCACTATAGACTAATGTGTGACATATCATCCTTTATAGGCACTATAGATCAATCTATGACATATCAGCTTTTATAGACATTATAGACCCATGTATGACTTATCAGCCTTTATAGGCACTATAGACCCAAGTATGACATATCAGCCTTTATAGGCACTATAGATCCATGTATGACACATCAGCCTTTATATGCACTATATACCCTTGTGTGACATGTCAGCCTTTATAGGCACTATAGACCAATGTGTGACATATAAGCCTTTATAGGCACTATTGACCCATGTTTGACATCAGCCTTTATAGGCACTATAGACCAATGTATGACATATCATCCTTTATAGGCACTATAGACCCATGTGTGACATATCAGCCTTTATATGCACTATAGACCCATGTTTGACATCAGCCTTTATAGGCACTATAGACCAATGTATGACATGTAAGCCTTTATATGCACTATAGACCCATGTGTGACATATCATCCTTTATAGGCATCATAGACCGATGTATGACATATCATCCTTTATATGCACTATAGACCCATGTGTGACATATTAACCTTTATAGGCACTATAGACCAATGTGTGACATATCTGCCTTTATAGGCATCATAGACCAATGTACATGTATGACATATTAGCCTTTATAGGCACTATAGATCCATGTTTAACGTATCAGCTTTTATAGACACTATAGACCCATGTATGACTTATCAGCCTTTATAGGCATTATAGACCCATGTATGACATATTAGCCTTCATAGGCACTATAGACCAATGTGTGACATATCAGCCTTTATAGGCATCATAGACCAATGCATGACATGTTAGCCTTTATAGGCACTGTAGATCCATGTATGACATATCAGCCTTTATAGGCACTATAGACCAATGTGTGACATATCGGCCTTTATAGGCATCATAGACCCATGTATGACATATCAGCCTTTATAGGCACTATAGATCCATGTATGACATATCAGCCTTTATAGGCACTATAGATCCATGTATGACATGTTAGCCTTTATAGGCACTATATAACCATGTATGACATATTAGTCTTTATAGGCACTACTGTGTGACATATCAGCCTTTATTGGCATCATAGACCAATGTATGACATATTAGCCTTTATAGGCACTATAGATCCATGTATGACATATCAGCCTTTATAGGCATCATAGACCCATGTATGACATATCTGCCTTTATTGGCACTATAGACCCATGTATGACATATTAGTCTTTATAGGCACTATAGACCAATGTGTGACATATCCGCCTTTATAGGCACTCCAAACCCATGTATGACATATTAGCCTTTATAGGCACTATAGACCAATGTGTGACATATCAGCCTTTATACATGTAGGCATCATAGACCCAAGTATGACATATCTGCCTTTATTGGCACTATAGACCCATGTATGACATGTTAGCCTTTATAGGCACTGTAGATCCATGTATGACATATCAGCCTTTATAGGCATCATAGACCCATGTATGACATATCAGCCTTTATAGGCACTATAGACCAATGTGTGACATATCGGCCTTTATAGGCATCATAGACCCATGTATGACATATCAGCCTTTATAGGCACTATAGATCCATGTATGACATATCAGCCTTTATAGGCACTATAGATCCATGTATGACATATTAGTCTTTATAGGCACTATATACCCATGTATTACATATGAGCCTTTATAGGCACTACTGTGTGACATATCAGCCTTTATTTGCATCATAGACCAATGTATGACATATCAGCCTTTATAGACACTATAGATATATGTATGACATATCAGCCTTTATAGGCACTATATAACCATGTATGACATATTAGGCACTATAGATCCATGTATGACATGTTAGCCTTTATAGGCACTATATAACCATGTATGACATATTAGTCTTTATAGGCACTACTGTGTGACATATCTGCCTTTATTGGCATCATAGACCAATGTATGACATATTAGCCTTTATAGGCACTATAGATCCATGTATGACATATCAGCCTTTATAGGCATCATAGACCCATGTATGACATATCTGCCTTTATTGGCACTATAGACCCATGTATGACATATTAGTCTTTATAGGCACTATAGACCAATGTGTGACATATCCGCCTTTATAGGCACTCCAAACCCATGTATGACATATTAACCTTTATAGGCACTATAGACCAATGTGTGACATATCAACCTTTATAGGCATCATAGACCCACGTATGACATATCATCCTTTATAGGCACTATAGATTCATGTATGACATATCAGCCTTTATAGGCATCATAGACCCATGTATGACATATTAGCCTTTATATTCACTATAGGTCCATGTATGACATATCAGCCTTTATAGGCATCATAGACCCATGTATGACATATCAGCCTTTATAGGCACAATAGACCCACGTATGACATATCATCCTTTATAGGCACTATAGATTCATGTATGACATATCAGCCTTTATAGACACTATAGATCCATGTATGACATATCAGCCTTTATAGGCATCATAGACCCATGTATGGCATATTAGCCTTTATAGGCACTATAGATCCATGCATGACATATCAGCCTTTATAGGCATCATAGACCCATGTATGACTATCAGCCTTTATAGGCACAATAGACCCACGTATGACATATCATCCTTTATAGGCACTATAGACCCAAGTATGACATATCATCCTTTATAGGCACTATAGATCCATGTATGGCATATCAGTTTTTATAGGCATCATAGACCCATGTATGACATATTAGCCTTTATAGGCACTATAGATCCATGTATGACATATCAGCCTTTATAGGCACTATAGATCCATGTATGACATATCAGCCTTTATAGGCACTATAGATCCATGTATGACATATCAGCCTTTATAGGCATCATAGACCCATGTATGACATATTAGCCTTTATATTCACTATAGGTCCATGTATGACATATCAGCCTTTATAGGCATCATAGACCCATGTATGACATATCAGCCTTTATAGGCACAATAGACCCACATATGACATATCATCCTTTATAGGCACTATAGATTCATGTATGACATATCAGCCTTTATAGGCACTATAGATCCATGTATGACATATCAGCCTTTATAGGCATCACAGACCCATGTATGACATATTAGCCTTTATAGGCACTATAGATCCATGTATGACATATCAGCCTTTATCGGCATCATAGACCCATGTATGACATATCAGCCTTTATAGGCACTATAGATCCATGTATGACATATCAGCCTTTATAGGCACTATAGACCCACGTATGACATATCATCCTTTATAGGCACTATAGACCCATGTATGACATATTAGCCTTTATAGGCACTATAGATCCATGTATGACATATCAGCCTTTATAGGCACTATCGATCCACGTATGACATATCAGCCTTTATAGGCATCATAGACCCATGCATGACATATCAGCCTGGTGGTAGTGTACTCGCTTTCACTGATTTGTTGTTCTCCATTGTAGGATGTTCTAGAGTTCATTGACACCAGTTGCAATACATTCCTGAGTAATATGTGTTTAGTTATAGCAACTTATAAAGAATTATTTGTCAACAGACAAGCTACAGCGTGAGTACTACATTCATCCTTGTAATGCCCCAACTTTTAGAGAATGCGCCCACATGCTTTTATCACGAATTTACAGAGATTGTACTGGAATTAATATTGTGGATATATTATATATTTTATTAGATCTCCAATATAAGTGCATACAAATTGAAAAAAATGATTCTTTTAGTCTCATTAGAGGGCACAGTATGCAGTGTTGCAGTTATCTGGGCTGTATTTTTATACCAAAATTGCCGTAACAAGACATATTCATGTTAATTCTTCAACCCATTTTACTAATCACTATTATCAATCTTAGTGTTTCATTACTACAGATAATATATAGTTGTGTTAAATACAAATGTATGTTTTGTTTTTCTTCAGGGATTGTAAGCAGCAAGAACTGGATAAGATTGCTCATGATAAACTGGGAAAGTTTGTCAACTCCAGAATGGAATTATATTTTAATTATGTCACAGAGCGAGTTGAAGCTGAGGTAAATATTATTAGAATTTAGTGTTATCAGTTATATTGATTCTTGCAACTACATATCCATTTTATTGTATCTGTCAAAATATTTCACTGTGAAATTCATTCCTATATGAAATATGAGTAATTCTTGAGAGAAAATACTACATATCCCTTTTATTGTATCTGTCAAAATATTTCACTGTGAAATTCATTCCTATATGAAATATGAGTAATTCATGAGAGAAAATATAAATGACATCAAATCATTGAGAATTACCATAGCAAGCAGTATTAAAAGCTGGTCACATAGCTACCAACCATGCTGCATGAGTTTTTCACTTTCTATATTTATGAATTTTATGAGGAAGAGCCAATACCATAGCGTATATGAAATGGTGAGAGTAATAGCCAATACCATAGTTAAGGTAGCGAGAAGGTTTTGTGACGTTTTTAAATAAAACATTCTCTGTCTGTTGTCTCGTT